CTGCAAAATTGCATAGTACTCTTTAGGACAGAGAATAGGAAAGGAAACCTGACTCAAAGTTGCTGCAATTCATTGAACCCCTAAGAGAAAAGAACATATGCCGTCCTGACATCTCAGGAAGAATACCATGTTTATTCTGGAAAAAAGTGTCTAATGCCTAATTGGCTTAGGGATGCTAACTGAATTTCATCACTCAGTTTTTTTCTAAATTAAATTTAATGTGGTTACATGTTATTTACTTAGAATTCTTTAATTCAGATTTTGTGATAATGTGAAGTATACTGAATTTAAGGCTTACTTGTGTTCTTTTGAAGAAAGGACTCCCTAAAAGTATAAGGAAATTATATTCAGACTGAGGTATAGTTATCCCATATAACATAATTTTTAGATTTTTTATTCTGGTGGAAATAAGTAAGCAAGCCTAGTAACCATTCATTTTAGAAACAATCTGTTATTCTATTCTGCTTGACAGTAATAAATTTGTATTTCTTTTGAGAATTTTCATAATTCAGAAATTCTACTATCAGGCTAACCCTTAATTCTCTAAATTAATGGGATTTTATTTTTAATCATGTTTCTATGCAGTGGTAGACTTTTAAATAAATTTATATTCTTATTTATAAATTATAATTAAATATTTGTATTTATTATTAGGTTCAATCTTATGATCCAGAAACCAATTCTTGGCTACTTCGTGCAGCTATCCCAATTGCCAAGAGGTGTATAACAGCTGTATCCCTAAACAACCTGATATATGTTGCTGGTGGACTGACCAAGGCAATATACTGTTATGATCCAGTTGAAGATTACTGGATGCACGTGCAGAATACATTCAGCCGACAGGTAACAACATAAAACAGTCCAAAAAAAAAATAAATCTAAGTCTTAAGAGGGACCAAGTACATGATCATTATTACAACACTGGAATTTTACATTTAAAATATTTCATGTACACATAAATTATTTTATAATTAAAAAAAACACCACATAAAGCATTACGATATGCCTGTTTTGAACTCACACCAGTGACTTGTTTTATGGCAATAACTTCCTTTTTCTCATCCCATGGTCACCATGGGATGTTGCACTTAGGCTATTGATAGTTTTTTTCCCTTGACCTTTTTCAGAATCCTGCTCAGCCCTTATCTCTTCTCTGTCTCATATTTCAAAGGGAAGGAAATGTTCCCAAACTGGTTACATCTTTGGTTAGCAGCTAGGTAATTTGTTTTGTTATAAAGGAAATGGTGGTGCTGAGGTTTCTTTCATCCACACACTCCACCTGGAGTCCTACCCCCTGCCTCCACTGCCACCCTAAAAAGGCCTTCCCTCAACCTACTCTCTTTCCTTCCGCCACCAAAATGCTTGATGCTTCCGCTGCTGGAAGTCTAGTTCTACTCACACCACTCTAGAAATTTTGTGCTAAGATCGACTAATAATCTCCTTGCCCTCATTCATATTCTCTGCTTTTTCCAGTCATTACCCAAATATGGGTGATCTTTGAGCCTCTTTTCTCTGCCGCCTTCCCAGTTAATACACAATTCTTGAATTATCTCATCTGCTCAGTACTGATCACTTCCACATCTTTATCTCCGTCAAAGCCTCTCTCCTGTAGGCTAAACTCAAATTTCCAACATCCTATTTGGTATTTCTCATGGATGTTACAAGACTTTAAACTTAAAATAGAACTCATCTTCATGCCCAACCCTACTTTTTCTGTATTTCCAAACAACCTAGACACTTAATTTATTAGATATTCCTCATTTTTTCTTAAATTAAATCAATCCAGCATATCAGCTTGACGTCCTCAGAATTTCTCTCATTTTTCCCATTCATATTGTTCTTACCTAAACAGCTGATGAAAAACAGGTGAAAAAAATGAGCTCTCTTTTTACAGTCCTAATGGACCCAGCCTAGTTCTCTGACTGTCTTTCTCTATTTCCATGCCTGTTGACTTTGCATAATTCCTAAAAGCCACACATTTCATTCTTTTTTTTGGAGGATGCAGGCAATGATCCTCCTATCTCTCGCGCACACACTTCTTTTCAAACATATTTTGCTTTTTAACTTCTGTCAGGAACATCGTTTTTAAAAATGAGGGAGGGAGTAATTTTTTAAGACAATGATGAAGTTTTTTTTTGTTTTTTTTTTTTCAGTAGACCAGGTTTTAAAATGTCATTAAAGATAAGAATAATTTGGGTGGTGCCTGTGGCTCAAGGAGTAGGGCACTGTTCCCATACACCGGAGGTGGTGGGTTCAAACCCGGCCCAAACCAAAAAAAAAAAGATTAGAATAATTAAATGAAAAAGAAATCTGATTTTGGGGGGTATTGTTGGTATTTTAACATTTAAGCATCCAAAATAATAGAGAGGTTTTCTTTTTTTTATGAAATTAGGATTATGTTTCATTTCAGTTTTTTAAAATAACATTAAGACTTCATATATTGGTATATGAAGTTTTCTCACTAGTTGTCCTTACTCCTGAGTGAAGAGTAAGTTTTTCACATAGTATAAATAAACACATAGTGTGAACAAACAGTAAGTATTTTACATAACGTGAAATGAATTCTTACATCCGTATCTGATAGAAATAGTTTCCTAACACAAATAATTATTTTCAAGATTGCTTGCTTCATTTAATTCTGATTATTATTATCTGAAATTATGTTAATATCCAGATCATGTGATTATATATTGTTGTAGTATCATCATCACCACAGCAACTATAAGGTTCACTAGTAGGAACTAGCGTATATCTGAAAATTAAGGATTGTTTTTTAATTAAGGATATTTTGTTTTCATTATATTCATAACTTTTAGAATTCATGGAAAGAGCTCATTGTACTTTAAATTAAAAATATTGTATAGTTTGGCCCTTATTGGGTCAATTCATGGTCATGTGGCATTTTGGATAAAGTGTCATTCATTAATGATACTGGGCCAGGTCGTTCTGGATATAGTAATCTCTGCTATAGGCATTTTTAAGTACTCAATAATTCTTTCAGGCCTGAACATAGTAGGCTTTTATTACATAAGTCCACCAAGATTTGATTTTTTTCTACAAGAGCAAAATTTATATACAACAAATCTGGTCAAGTAAAAATGCTTATTGAGGGCAGTACCTGTGGCTCAGTGGGTAGGGCGCCAGCCCCATATACCAAGGGTGGTGGGTTCAAACCCGGCCCCAGCCAAACTGCAACAAAAAAATAGCCAGGCGTTGTGGCAAGCACCTGTAGTCTCAGCTATTGGGGAGGCTAAGGCAAGAGAATAGCCCAGGACTTGGAGGTAGCTGTGAGCTGTGTGACACTACAGCACTCTACCAAGGGTGATAAAGTGAGATTCTGTCTCTACAAAAAAAAAAAAAAATATATATATATATATATATTTGTTTTATACAGTAATTATATTATTTACAGAGAAGAGTAAAATTTAGCCAGAAAGCCCATTGAAAGGGAAGTGAACTGTAAAATATTTTTTGCTTCATTTCTATTTCCCAGCCAGAGCCCCTAATAATGCTGTTTGTTAATTTGGTTATAAATTTTTCATTCATTCATTCAACTTGTGGGTGAGTCCATGTAATGAATAATGTTCCTACTCCTTGGTCATAGAATAGTGACTTTATATTTGTACAATGAACTTCCTGCAATGGAGAAGCAAGCCAAGCTCTTCAAAAATATTTCTTGTTTAATTTCCATTAAGTTAAAACCTTTCTACCAATCCACCATGCCTACCCTACTTTCTACATCTTGGCCCCAGTTACTAACATTTAATCTGTTTTAACACTCACTCTGTCCATGTAAAATTATCCAGGACAGGATAAGGGAGTGTAGCTCTTGTCTCCTTATTTTTTGACTGTATTAAAGCATTATTTACTTTTCAGTTTGTTATCAAATCCATTATCTTAAATGGTTATTATTATTTTTTTTTATGTATTTGGTTAAACAGGAAAACTGTGGCATGTCTGTGTGTAATGGTAAAATATATATCCTGGGTGGAAGACGGGAAAATGGAGAAGCCACAGACACTATTCTCTGTTATGATCCTGCAACAAGTATCATCACAGGGGTAGCTGCAATGCCCAGGCCAGTGTCCTATCATGGCTGTGTGACTATTCATAGATACAATGAGAAATGCTTTAAACTGTAAAGCCCGGATACCTCACCCAAGAAACCACACCAATCCAAGATGAGATGTTGTTACAACTCCAGAGTGCGAACTTGACTTCACCTCCTTTGTACAATATACAAAAAATAGTAAAAATAATAATTTGGCACCTTTCTCCCCCAAATAAGCAGTCTTTCAAACTGAAATAAAGCCTTCCCTGTAATTAAAAAAATTTTTTTTGTTAAAGGTAATGGTGGTGGTTGTTTGGCCTTTGAAAGTGTTCCTTTTTAAGAATTTGTAAAAGGGCTATGTGGAGTAGAAAATAATGTGTCTGTATACCATTTAGGAACTTGTGAATAGTCTCTTCATTTACTGATGCTTATGTGTAAGACTGTATATTTGTTATTATGTCATATATGCAGAGAAAATTGTGACTTGAGGCTACATTTAGGTTGAATCACCTAATGCTTAGAATGCATTCTAAGGGGAAAAAATAAGTTTTAAAAATCTTTGTCATAGGTTTTTTTTATTGAAGGTTTTATTTCTGTCATTGATGAAAATACAATGAAAACAATTCACATATCATAAAATACTAATTACTATGACTTTATTCTTAGAATTGCTGACTTATATTAAACATGACATTTAATGGGGTGGGAGGGTTAGGTAGAAGAGGGAAAAATGTATATCTCCAGGGGAATTTCAATTGCAGGTTAATTTCTCAAAATTAAGTAACCATTGAAGGAAGACGTCCCACCATGGCTCTCAAAGTATTTATACATCATCTCTAAGTCTTCTAAGAACCTCCTTTTCTTGAACCTAACAAATGAGTTAAAATCCATTTTGCAATATTGTCTTCTGAGAAACTAAGACAGGCTTTCTCCCCAGCCCAGCAGGGTTTGGCCTCATTAGTGTGGCGCTTTATGTGAAGACCTCTTCCTTAGGTTATCCTACTTTCTTACAGACAGCCAGAAATCCTGACAGTCTCTACAACTAAGGAATCTTTAATAGGATTAAGCAGGGACCACCTATCTCAGTGGGTCCATTTTTCTTTTAAAATTAGCTGCAACCCCCAAAATTTAGTAGTAGTTCCCATCTTCCAAAATAAGTCATCCATTGAGTACCCAATATTTTAATATTGACCAACATTTCAAGCTTCTAAACAACAAACTGCTTATGTCTAAATATCTCAACTCCAGTTCATAAAACTTAGCAGTTCTCAGAGACAGTACATTTTTTTTTCTAAGGTAACTAGATACATTTGACAGGAATATGCTATCATGATTATCATAATTCTGAGTGGTATAATGTACATTTTAGGGATGTTCTAGTTAGCCTGCTCTATTCTGAATTCCCAGTCACTGTTGTCACTCATATTTTAATTGTATATTCTTTGTCATAGGAGCAATGATGAAAATACGTGACTATAGTGTCACCAGGTTTCTGTTAAAACAAAGGTTGTAATCAAAAACCTAACATTGGTAAACATTTCTTTTTCTTACCTTAGAACGATACAGAGATTTCACATAGGCATTGCAAACTTTAATGCTTTAATGGTTAGCTAGAATAAAAATTCTCAGGAAAACTCTAAAAAAACTTACAAATTTTTAGGGAATTTTTAGTTTTAAATTATTTTAAAATGACAAATACCTTTTTGTAATAACTATCAGAGAAAATCAGAAAACAAATTTTCTATCATTTCAGTTGAAAGATAATTATAGGTATAATTGGGATACTTTAATTTTAGAGTAAATATCTACTGCGTTACACTTTTATAGATAATAAAACCTATTTAGGTCAGAAGTTCTTTAGAGTAAATGAGATAATGTATGAAAAAGTGTTTTGTAAATGCTGAAGATTGTATGTATGATAGTTATGTTTCATGTTTTTTTGTAAGATCTTGCCCATACATAAATACAGAGATTTCACATAAAAAAGACTTTCTCAAAGTAACTTTGTATTCTAGTATTTTTGTCAATCATAAAAGTATTAACTATTTACTTTTATTTTGTTATACATTTATTTTAATATCTATGTGTTTATTATAGTAAATTTGAAATGATATCCTAAAAAATTGGCTTAAATACAGACCCCATACCATTATTATTTTTTTCTCTACATAATTTAAAACTAAATAAATTCAGCAGTTGTCATTTATGTTGAAGGCCACCAAGAACTTAGCTTGAATTCTAGAAAATTCAGTAACTATGTTTAAAGTTACCCAACTGATTTTTTTCTTGACAGAGTCTCACTCTGTTACCCAGACTAGAGTGCAGTGGCATCATTTTTCAAAATTATTTTCCTGTACTAATTCTTGATAAATAATGGTGTTTGCTTTGATAAAATAAAAAAGAATTTGAGTATAATTACCATATCAAAAGGGCTATATCAACCAAATTGGTGTTAGATTATATTTAGTCAGTCATCACATAATTGACATTTTTATTTTGATAGGTTATCTTCGTATGAGCCTTTTTGTATGTATATATGCACAAGTGTATATATTATAGGTAGATAGTATGCACACATATTTACATACACCAAGGATTTTGGCAGTCTGTGATGATCATTTAAAAACCACATAAAGTAAAAATTAGTTAACAATTTTAAATTCAATTTCAGAAGACTTTTATTTGGGCATTTTGAGAGCTTTTTTTATATTTGAAAGTGCATGATGAGTATTAGTAATAATGACTTAAATACAGTCAGAATTTATATAATACATTTGGTTTCGAAGGTCAGAAGAGGCTTGGCACCTATAGCTCAGCAGCTAGGGCGCCAGCCACATACACCAGAGCTGGCATGTTCGAACCCAGCCTGGGCCTGCCAAACAACAATGGCAACGACAACAACAACAAAAATAGCTGGGCGTTGTGGCCAGCGCTTATAGTCCCAGCTACTTGGGAGGCTGAGGCAAGAGAATCACTTAAGCCTAAGAGCTTGAGGTTGCTGTGAGCTGTGATGCCAAGGCACTCTACTGAGGGCAACATAATAAGACTATCCCCAAAAAAAGATCAGAAGAGAAGAGTTAGCTAAACCTAGCTGTGATACCTCAGTTGGAAATGGCATTCAAAGGTATACTTTATGGAACAACAAAATAGTACTGTTGGGTTTTTTTGTGGGTTTTTTTTTTTTAATAAACATTAACTATTTTCCATGTTTTTCTCTATGTGAGTGAGCTACAGAGTGATCTAATTTTTATAGCAGAACAACTTTCCTTTTCTCATCTTACTACTGACTTTACTGCACAGGTATGAAATGATAGTAACTTTTTTACCTAGATGACTGAAATAAAGGTATTTACTCCATTTAAGCCAGGTGTTAAGAAAAGACGATGTAAATACTCAGGGAGGGTATTAACTTGTCACTTTTGCCTGTTTGGGGTATTAAAAGTGCTATAACTAAATAACCTTCAATTTATGATTCTACAGTAAATTTAATTTGGTATAAAGGGGCTTCACACATGGCAGTGGTTAAACATTCATTCTTTTATATTAGAAAGATGAAAATGTTTTGTGGACTGATACATTTTCTTTTATGAATACAAATTATTTATGTATCTTTACTATCAAATACCCTTTTTGAAACTCAGGAAAGACAAAGGTTCAATTACACCACTTTTGTCAATATGCAAACCAGGTATATGTGTTTTGGGTTTTTTTCTTTCCCTGTTGTCTGGATATGACAATAGATTTTTTTTTAATTGCTGTGAGAACCCATATATGAAAAGAGAGGGGTTGAATTATTTGTGTGTGCCTTTTGTCTTGAGATTTATACACGGAAAAGACAACATCTACTTCAAACTGTTTTCAAAGAGGGAGAACTATTGATGTGGTGCAGAAGGACAAGATAATGTCTCTTAAAGGCTTCCTGTGGACTGCCTTTGTTTTAGTAAACTCAAGACACCAGTGAACCTCAACATAGTTTTGGCCTTAGTAGAAGTTTTTGTGCATCATATTGAAAGCCACCTCACCTCCTTATTCTTTTTTAGTTGAATAAATAAATTTACCATACCAAGTAACCAGAAAGGGGCAATTTGGTTGACCTTTAAGGCAGTAGGTTTGATTAGCCTGCTGTACTGACTGTCACATCTGATGCTAGGCACCAGAAACCATTTGAGCCAAGAGTGTGATTTGATAATTCCAGAGATGTTTGCAACATACTTTTGACATTGTTAAATGTTTTATATGAATGTTTTTACATTTGTGTGATGGCCTTAGATACTAAATTTACCTAGTGCTAAAAGATGATCATAATTTTTCAGAACAACAGCAGTCATAACTTATTTTATATACTGTTCCAAAGAGTTTGTTTTAATGTTCTTAAAAAACTGCACCTGAATTGTTTATGTGCCTTAAGTTCTCTAGTACTATTTCAACTCTTCTCCAATCTAAATAAAGCTTACCTTAGATAAGGTTCATATTTGTTTCCTACAGAGTAAACTTACCCTTCTTAAATTTTTTAATGAACATCAAACACATGGTTGCTTGGCAGAATGAAAATGTTAAGGGAGGTTGTTGAGTGTTTGGAGTTTTATTATATTTTTTGTTTTTATTTTTTGATACCTAGGTGCTGTTTAAGATACTCAGACAAACATTTATCTTACACTGATTAAACTCTTGTAAAATGTCATTTGCAATATCTACATCTGATGTAACAAAAGTGTATCTGCTTATTTTTGTTCCCTTCTTATGTACTATTTTTTTTCCTCTGCAGGCTTTTTCATTAGACTCTTCTTGAAAAAGCACTTACTCTTCTTGTCCCCATCACCCCACCCCATAATTTCTTTATTTAAAATTTTGTTGAAAATTTCCAGATCTATCTAAGACAGTGGTTCTCAACCTCCCTAATGCCACAACCCTTTAATACAGTTCCTGTGGGTCGTGACCCACAGGTTGAGAACCATTGATCTAAGACAACACAATTTTAAAGTTGAACAAAAGTAGTAATATGCTTTACAACTAGTACAGACCTGTGGCAGCCAAAAGTCATTTGCTTTCAATTAGAAGATACAGAATCTTCATAGTGAAAGAAAAGCTTTGTATTTCATTGTTCTAGATTCAGTTGTAGCACATGTAGTATATTTTGTTTAAATATAATTCTTGCATAGTTTAATTTTTTAAGTTGTTATATCTAATAAAATGTCTTTTAACATTATTACTTGACTATACGGTTGTATTAAATTTTGTTTACCAAAAATTTGTTGTTCTGTTTTTATTTTAAATATATCCAAATAGCTGTGCCAAAAAGAAATGGGAAAATACTATAGATAGATAGACACACACACACACACACACACACAAAAATGGTGGGAGAAGGACAGGTAAAAAGGAAACTTTACTTTTATATATATAATTACATGTAATATATAAATACATTTTTAAGTTTGAACCACATTAAAGAATTATTCAAAAACAATTTTAATTACATTTGCACTCTGGTGTTCTTTTGATTTGATTCTTGAAAGTATCCCTATAGCAATGTTGAAGGTAAAGAACTTAAAAAAATTTATTTCAAATAAATTTGAAAG